GCCTAAGCAAAGGTAATAACCCAAAAGAGATGGTATGTTACCTAGTATCAAACGTATGATAGCCTAAGCAAAAGTAATAACCCAATAAGACACAGTATATTACCTACTATCAAACGTATAATAGCTTAAGCAAAGGTAATAACCCCAAAGATACGGTATGTTACCTACTATGAAATGTATGATAGCCTAAGCAAAGGTAATAACCCAAAAGATACGGTATATTACCTACTATCAAACATATGATACCCTAAGAAAAGGTAATAATCCACAAGAGACGGTATATTACCTACTATCAAACGTATGATACCCTAAGCAAAGGTAATAACCCAAAAGATACGGTATATTACTTACTATTAAACGTATAATAGCCTAAGCAAAGGCAATAACCCCAAAGATACAGTATATTACCTACTATCAAACGTATGATTGTCTAAGCAAAGGTAATAACCCAATAAGATACGGTATATTACCTACTATCAAACGTATGATAGCCTAAGCGAAGGTAATAACCCAAAAGATACAGTATGTTACCTACTATCAAACGTATGATAGCTTAAGCAAAGGTAATAACCCAATAAGACACAGTATATTACCTACTATCAAACGTATGATAGCTTAAGCAAAGGTAATAACCCCAAAGATACGGTATGTTACCTACTATCAAACGTATGATACCCTAAGCAAAGGTAATAACCCAAAAGATACGGTATATTACCAACTATCAAATGTATGATACCTTAAGAAAAGGTAATAACCCAAAAGATACGGTATATTACCTACTATCAAACGTATGATTGTCTATGAAAAGGTAATAACCCAAAAGATACAGTATGTTACCTACAATCAAACATATGATAGCCTAAGCAAAGGTAATTTCCCAAAAGAGACGGTATGTTACCTGGTATCAAACGTATGATAGCCTAAGCAAAAGTAATAACCCAATAAGATATGGTATATTACCTACTATCAAACGTATGATACCCTAAGAAAAGGTAATAATCCAAAAGATATGGTATATTACCTACTATCAAATGTCTGATTGTCTAAGCAAAGGTGATAACCCAAAAGATACAGTATGTTACCTACTATCAAACGTATGATAGCCTAAGCAAAGGTAATAACCCAAAAGATACGGTATGTTAGCTACTATCAAACGTATGATAGCCTAAGCAAAGGTGATAACCCAAAAGAGATGGTATGGTACCTAGTATCAAACGTATGATAGCCTAAGCAAAAGTAATAACCCAATAAGACACAGTATATTACCTACTATCAAACGTATGATAGCTTAAGCAAAGGTAATAACCCCAAAAATACGGTATGTTACCTACTATGAAACGTATGATATCCTAAGCAAAGGTAATAACCCCAAAGATACGGTATATTACCTACTATCAAACGTATGATTGTCTAAGTAAAGGTAATAACCTAATAAGATATGGTATATTACCTACTATCAAACGTATGATAGCCTAAGAGAAGGTAATAACCCAAAAGATACAGTATGTTACCTACTATCAAACGTATGATAGCTTAAGCAAAGGTAATAACCCAAAAGATACGGTATGTTACCTACTATCAAACGTATGATAGCCTATGCAACCATAATAACCCAAAAAGATACGGTATATTACCGACTATCAAACGTATGATAGTCTAAGCAAATGTAATAACCTAAAAGATATGGTATATTACCTACTATCAGACGTATGATTGTCTAAGCAAAGGTAGTAACCCAAAAGATACGGTATGTTACGTATTATCAAACGTATGATAGCCTAAGCATATTTAATAACCCAACAGAGATGGTATGTTAGCTAGTATCAAACGTATGATAGCCTAAGCAAAAGTAATAACCCATTAAGATATGGTATATTACCTACTATAAAACGTATGTTAGCCTAAGCAAAGGTAATAACCCCAAAGATACGGTATATTACCTACTATCAAATGTATGATAGCCTAAGCATAGGGAATATCCCAAAAGATACGGTATATTACCTACTATCAGTCGTATGATAGCATAAGCAAAGGTAATAACCCAAAACATACGGTATATTACCTACTATCAGACGTATGATTGTCTAAGCAAAGGTAATAACCCAAAAGATACGGTATGTTAGCTACTATCAAACGTATGATAGCCTAAGCAAAGGTAATAACCCAAAAGAGATGGTATGTTACCTATTATCAAACGTATGATAGCCTAAGAAAAAGTAATAACCCAATAAGACACAGTATATTACCTACTATCAAACGTATGATAGCTTAAGCAAAGGTAATAACCCCAAAGATACGGTATGTTACCTACTATTGTAATACCCTAATTTTTACCCCTAAGATCCCACATTTCATTTGCATCATTACATACACAAACAAGATCATACTTTTTGGTTCTCTCACCCTTGTGTTTCTTATTTACTTTATGTTTGTTTCTGTTTACTAACCTCTAACCAAAATACCAAAAATATTTTGCAATTTTGCTTGTTTCCTCTTCTTTGTGTGTTTAGGGTTTTGCAAGGAGATTGATGGCAAAGACATTCATTCAAGTTTAAATCAGATGGACGTTTGACCTCATCTTGGTCAAATTATCAAGAGTTTGCTTCAACTATATGTTACCCGTGGTGGTGGGCTATTTTCTCAGACAATGTGTTTGTTCAAGGTCAAACAGTGTTCTATGAGAAGTTTGGTCAGGATTATCACGATCAGGGTTCATCAGTCTAGAGTTTTGTCTGTACAAGTCAGGTTTGGTGGATGTTCAATCAAGATGTTTGTTTTAGGATACAATTCCAAAGTGCTCATTCAAGTGTGCCATTTCCAAGTGATTTTAGAGCATGATTGAAGGTTGTCAAGAGTTTAACAAGACAAGATGATTGTCACAATTCAAAGTCCAATTTTCAAATGTCATTCAAGTTTTCAAGACAGGACATGCATCATACAAGTTTTCAAGATCATTTTCAAGGCATAGTTATTATTTAAGGTCTTTCAAATATGGTTCGTGTTCAGCAGCTATCTGAATTAGAAGAGTGACAAATCAGGACTGGGATGTGGTGGAAAGCATGCGGTTGGCTTTAGTGAATGTTGTAAATGATGTTCTTGACAGATCCAATGATATTGCCGATGCTCAGTATTATGATTGGATAAAACTCTTGGAAATCGTTTCAAGATGGCAAGACATATATGGAAATTTCTCGCTTACGACCTACAGTTCTCATCTCAAAGGTTCCTTATCTGTGTTGGCAGTATGTTTCCTAGGCCACACTCCGGCAGTTGAAGATGTGTTATCGCTTGTCATAGGACCAAATTAGAGATCTTTATCAGTGTCGGCGACAATATGTTCAGTTATACCTGGTTTCTCTTCAACAGTCATCCACCGTCAACCTCTTGGAAATCAGAGAAATATATAAGGATCTTGATTCAAAAGTAATTCTTCTATGGAGGTTGCTAGCTCATGCCAAGATTGAATTTGTAAAATCTAAGGTAGCTGCTGAAGAAAGTAAACTTAAGAACAAGAGCTGGTTTTCATTTAGATGGCATGCTGACACAGAAGAAGTTTCTTTAAGTGATGCTTCTGAAAAGCAACAATTTAAAGAAGAAAGTTTAACTACAGAAGAATATACATTGGAGGAAACTAAAATCAAACACAAAATGTCAATCAAAACTGATGTTGTGTTGGTACATATAATGTTAGACTTTTTGATGATTCAGAGAAATTCACAGTTGTTGACAGACTCACTAAGGACACTGGAACCAGCATCCATTTCTTTAGAGTTTACACAAAAAGAGGCCAACGGCCGTGAATCCAACACTAGAACTTCCACTGCATATGGTGTTGACTTAGTTTATGGTGGCTATTTATTCTTGCTTGTCATGATGAAAGAAATAAAGCTGCTATAATGAAGTCTGGAGCAATTTATGTTCTCACCGACAGGATCTTGAATTGTTGCTCACAATATTCTCAGATAAATACAAAGAAGATAGCATGCTAATTTTCCTGGTACTTTAAGACAAGCATCGAGTAGTAACTCTGTATTGGAAATCTCGATCGATGCTAGTTATCCAGCTAAACGCCGCGATGCAGTAACAGAAGCCTACTCCTATTTTATTTTTTAAAAACCTGTATACTTCAGCAACTCACAAGTGGAAACCAACAATTTTCTCGTTTGCCGGAGCAATTTCAAGGACAATCAATTTGGACAGGTCGTTACTTGGTGTGATGTCAGTATAAGACTATAGAAGGTCTTTGAAGGTTTATTGCAGATGTGTTGCATCCTTCTGCTACTCATTCAATCTCGAGCTTTGCTTCCTTGTTCGATGGTGTTGGAGTTACTTTGGCCTTGAAATATTGTAGGATGTTGCTACTACAAGATGTTATGCAGGTTCTTCGTAGTGCTGTTATGACTCTTGCAAATAGGTCATATGATGGATCTCTCACTAATTCATGCCACTGGGCAGATGGGATTCCTTTGAATCTCAGGCTTTATGAAATGCTTCTACAATCTTGTTTTGATGTTAATGATGAATCATCAATTATTGATGATTTTGATGAGCTAATGGAACAAATTAAGAAGAGTTGGGGAATACTTGGATTAAACCAGACATATCATAATCTCTGTTTTACTTGGGTTTTATTTCATCAATTTGTTGCTACTGGACAGATGGATTTGGAGCTTCTATCTGATGCTGATGGCCATCTAGCTGAAGTTGCAAAAGATGCAAAGACAACAAAAGATTCTGAGTATTCCAAAATTTTGAGTTCGACGTTGACTTCGATATTGGGATGGGCAGAGAAAAGGCTTCTTGCATACCATGAAACTTTTGATAGTGGTAACGTTGAAACTATGGAGGGCATAGTCTCTTAAGGGGTAGCAGCGGCTAAGATATTACTTGAAGACATATCTAATGAGTATTGCAGGAGGAGAAAAACTGAAGTCAACGTGGCTCGGGAAAGAATTGAAACTTACATAAGGTCATCTCTACGTACTGCCTTTGCCCAGATAATGGAGAAAGCAGACTCAAGCAGGAGGGCATCAAGAAACCAGCCAAATGCTCTCCCTCTCCTTGCCATTCTTGCAAAGGATGTAGGCAGCCTGGCAATGAATGAAAAGCTAGTGTTCATCCCGATACTCAAGAGATGGCATCCTTTGGCAGCAGGTCTTGCTGTGGCTACCCTTCATGCATGCTATGGAAACGAAATGAAGCAATTCATTGCCGGTATCACAGAATTGACCCCAGATGATGTTCAGGTGTTAAGAGCAGCAGACCAGTTGGAGAAAGACCTTGTGCAGATAGCTGTTGAGGATTCAGTAGACAGTGATGATGGCAACCTCGAAGCAAGATCTTCTTTTAAAAGAGTTCGTGAACATGATATCGAGACGTATATAAGGAGGCAGCTACAGTTTACTTTCGAATTTGTGGTGAGGATATCCTACATTCTGCTGTGATGCTTGAACAAGCATCATACTGTTATTTGTTGTCTAAACCCTCCATGTCACGCAAATATGGATTTCATCTAGTTCTTTCTGGTGAGCAGTGTTGCACCCCAAAATTTGACCAACATTTATTTACCAAGTTTGTGGTTCGTTGCATTCATCATCTGCATCTCATTGATATGTGGGCAGTAAATCAAGAGGTATGATTACCTAGCAAGAGTTGTATGAGACTTTAAATCTAGCCAAGAAAGTTATTCAAAGGTTCAAGGATTGATATCCTTGTCAGAGAACTCAAGAGATCCTCAAAGGAATTGGTTGAAACCAAGGTTGTGTGTCTCATAACTTGAGAGTTGTGGGAGCTCCTCAGATGATTCTGAGACTAGGAGGATGGAATTGAAGCTGTGAGAAAGCTTATGAGATGTCTTGAAAGTCATCATGAAGCCTAGAGAGGTCATTGTACAAGAATTCAGAAGATTCAGCCATGAGTGGTGGAATTAGGGTTTGACTGGGTCAACCCTAGGTCAACTGAAGATTTGGAGAGGGTTGAGACCTAATCCAAGAGCCATGTGATCATGGAATGATGTATTGAGATGTTATAAGGATGATTCCTAGACCAACTCATCATGATTGAGGAGTTTGAGAAGTTTCAAGCTAGGGTTTCTAAGGATTGACAGTGTAAAATCCCCTAGTTTGATCACTATCTTCAAGGCAGTTTAGCTCAAGATGTGATTGTCATCTCATATTCCCCACAACATGAATGTTGTAGATCTTGTTCTTAGATTTAATTTGAGTAGTAGAATTCCTTTATAGGATTTAGGGATCTCAAGTTATGGCTTTGACAAATTACAGGTCATCTGAGGTATGTGAATCTGGGTCCTTGAAAGTCACCCAACTTGCAGACAACCTTTGCCCTAGTAGGATGATTCCTATGAACTCTTGGTCAACATGAATGTTTATAATCTTCTTATATTTCTATATATTACTATAAGTCCTTGATAGGATTTGTAGAACTCAACTTATGGCTTTGACAAGTCAAGGGCATTTTGGTCATTTGGAAGTTATAGGTCATTTCAAGCATGAGGCCATATCTCCTATTTTCAAGCTTCAAATGGAAAAATATTCAACATCAAACTTGCTTAGAATGATGTTTTAAGGCTATTAGGGAGGTCATGAGATGTTGAAAAGGCTCATATCAAAAAGTGATAAAAATGGCCTAAAAATGAGGCATAAGTTAATTAAGTTGAATTTGAAAAATGGAAATCACAAGTTATAAGTCCAAACCATGTCATGTAATAGGTCATTCTGACTCCAAATGACATTCTAAGAACAATGGTTCAGCCAAAATTTTGATTTGAGGCTTGCATCATAGTGCTGCTTTGGAATTTGATTACTTGCATCTTAAGGTACCAAACCAAAACAAGGAAAAACTCAATAAGCAAGGCAGTTATGCATTGTAACTTACCCTAAATCTCATGTGGGGATAAATTCAAGTCAGAAACCAAGATTGAAAAGGCTATGGCATGAGATAGCATGTAAGGAGAATGAGAAATCAAAATACCATGACATGAAAAGTTCAATTTCTCATTGGATTGTCCTAGAGGGTTCTAGATGATTCTAAACCACTCTATAAGATGAATATAACTTGCTCAGATGCAAGGTTGGTGTTAATTGGTGTAGAGAAGAGAGAGTGAGATCCAAATTCCTCCATTGCAAGTCAAGTGCAATTTCTTCATTCTTCTTCATTGCCATCCCATTTTTCTTCACAAACCCTTTCCATAGATCCCTCTGAGTGTGTGCATGCTGAATTGAAGCTCCATTGATGGAAGATTGAAGGTGTTCACATTGGATTTGCAAAGAAGCAATTATCATCGAATCTTGAAGTACAAGCTCTCTCCCTCAGAATTTTTGCAAACAGTAGAAGTTTCATCATCCAAGGATCATTCTTGAAGAGTTTCAAGCCTTGAAAGCAAGGATTTCATCATCTACCATATCAAGAAGCCAGATTTGCAAAATCTCTTCCACCTCATTATTTAGGCATGGTTAGGGTGAATTATTAGTATAGAATTGCTAGAGACCAATAGGTGATCAATTCTAGAGACTTTAGGAGCATTTGATGAAGTTTCAGTCATGGATACCATTTCTTGATGGAGCAAGAACTCGTGGCATAGTGAGTGATAATGCAAGATTAATAGCTGGTTTTGATTAGGGCAATGTGAGGGTCATTTTGATGCAAAGAAATCTATGTTTGGTTGAGGTTGAAGATTGATCATTATTTGAGGATAATTTGGATTCACCATCGGGTTCTATGTTAGAGATCATTTCAATGCGTTTCAAGGTTATGAGCGTGATCAGGGTGAAAAATGGATCAGTTTAGGGTTTTGAAGGGTTGAATTTGATGCTGAAATGAAGGAGCACGAAGGGATGGAAGATGAGTGCATGAACTCTGGTTTTCATGGAAGTTTCTGAAAACCCTAGGTGGGAGGTTGAAGACGAAATTCCAGCCATTGGATAAGGCGCTGACCAGTTGACTCAAGAATAATCCAATGGCCCAGATTTAATCTCGCGTTTGGAGGGAAACTCAGAAACCTAATGAAATGCCGCGTTTCATTAAAGGATATTTCTGGGCTTAGTGTGATCAATTGCTATCTGAACCCCTCTTCGTGGCCCAATTGTATTTTAAACTGAATTTTGTTTCTATCTGCACCGCTTGTTTTTCTTTTTCTTTTGATTTTCTGATTTAGATATTGGGCCCAACACGCATGCTATCCCCACCCCCCCCCCCCCAGTCTGGGCCCATGTGTGGAATGAACTGTATTTTGTTGCTAATTGCACCCCGGCCATCTTTATCATTTTATTTTTCTCCAATTTTTCTCATACTTTGAAAATTCATATTAAATGGAAAAATCAATATTTTTTCATAGGAGTTTTTTCTCCTACTTCATATTTTTGTCAAGAAAAATATCAAATAAAAACATTTGTCATTTCATGCATTTTAGTATTTTTTGTATATTTTATTCTTTAATTTCTTTTTATTTCCTTTATGTTGATCAATGATCTTGTAGAATTTAGTTTAGGTAGTTTACTTAATATTTTTAGGTCAATCTTTTTAGGATAGTTAGATATATGCTTTAGCTTCCCCCTGGATTTATTCCATATTTTTGTGATGATTTTTAGGATAGGTTTGATTAGATGATTCTAGGTTGTGTAGAATTAGGTTAAACTTCAACATAGGTCCATAATAACTTTAGAATTTTGGGGTTTTAGGACAATTTAGACTATGGGACATATATGGGTATTAAGGGTAGGTATGTAGGATCCCTTAGAAATTATATTAGGATTTAATATGATAGTATGCTATTTTTAGTTGATTTTTGTATTGGTTGATTGTTTGTGTTGCCTTTAGGGCATGTTTGCTTTAGTTGCTTTGCTTTGTGGGCTTGGAGAGCTTGATCTTGTTTTAAGGAGTATTAAGGAGCATAGTAGAAGACTTGAAGATGCATTGAGGAGCTTGAGAGCTTGATCTTATTTCTTTTTGTTGTTTTAGGGTTAGGGATTAGGAAGAGTTTAGACTTAGACAACTTCTTTCTCAAACATGGATGGTATCATTCACCTCCATTCCTCCCTATGATCCAAAGTCCTTCCATGGTATACACCTATCTCCTTTGGAGGGATAAGTGATGTACCTAGGAAGTAGAACTTTTGAGGGAACCATTCCTTTGATGTTGAACCCTTAAAGGTCACCTTTGGTGATCAATAAGCAGTTCAATATCCCCCAGCTTATCCAGTAAGTGATTTTCTCTGGTTTGATTATCTTGAGAGATGTTGAGCTTGAGCTTGAAGATGAAGACTTCAATGAAGAGTGTAGAAGAGGATGAATCCTTGAGCATTGCCATTCCAGCTGAAGCTTGAAGAGCAAAGGAAGTTGATACTTACCTTGATGCCTGGAGATCCTGAAGGAGCCAAGTTGATACTCATGATTGATAGTGAAGCCTGAAGGTGGAGCTGATCAAGAAGCTGAAGCTTAAAAGGAGAAGATAAGTTGAAACTTATTTTGTAGGGTTGAAGCCTGGAAAAGCAACTGATGCTTGTCAAGAATGATTGAAGTCTGAAGACTGAGTTGCTACTGGAAGAGCTGAAGCTTGGAGTTGAGAGAGGAGTTGATCTGCTTTCTTCTCTTTCTTTTCTGTATTGATGTGTTTTGTTTGACTTGCTTGATGCATTAGAATAAGTTCATATCTAGAATAAGTAGAATCTAGGAGCATGATTGCACTAGAGGTTGAGTTGCTCCCTCTGCTTGTACTGTTACTGTGTGGCTTTGCTTGCGGGTATTCGGTAGAGCCCAGCTCCCTTGCCCATGTGGTTTGTTTGCCTGATGGCATTTCATTTCATTCTATCTGTATGATTGCAGTTTACTGTTTATTGCTTGATAGCATGTTGTTTATATTTCAGTATGATTACTGTTATCCATTCTGGCTTGAGGTTGAGATGAGCTTGTGGAGGCTGAAGCCCCACACACATTTCCTCCCTCACTTGCATTGCATGCATTTTACTGTTAAGCTGATGCTTTGTCTGTTTTGGTGTATCATTAACATGATCCCTTAGGACTCTCATTTCCTTTGATAAGGAATTGATGATAGAACTTTAGGTTGAAACCTATGCATGACAACTTCTAGGAGTTCCCTGTTCAAACCTCAACCATAGGATGAATCCATGGCATGATAACAGTAGGACTTGATAGTCTCCCTCCTAGTTGGGCCTGTTCTCTTCTTTCGTACGTTACGAGCCTTAAGCTATCTGAGAAAGGATTGTCGGAGAGTTTCTTTTCCACAGTCTAGATGTTTAGTATGGTACCCTTTGGGTGACATGCGACGCATTCACTCTCAGGTCATAGTCTCTAGTGCGATTGAAATTGCAAATACAATAAAAAACACTTCTTTCGTAAAAGACAGGAAATAAACCGTAGTTTCCCGAACTACGTGAGCTCTGATCTCTCATGCCTGTTGAGAGTACGT